CCTCCATAAACTTCTTAAACCACTCGAAAACTTGCGTGCGAGATAGACACTGATCACCATATACTTCTGTCAACAAATTGTAAGTTTCAGTGGCAGATTTTCCAAGTTTTGTGAGGAATTTGATGTTAGCACGTTGTTCTGCATTAGCACTCAGCATTATTCCGACGGAGCTCAGAAACACGATCCGCTTCTAACAATGGTCGCGGCCAGACTAACCGATGCACGTGAATGAAACTTTGTGTGACGGTAGAGGGAAGTCCAAGGGTCAATGCCCTACCCTCCTCTTCGTCAATGACGTGGCCGGAAATGAGTCATAAAAGTAATCCGGGTTCTTTATTGCCACACCTTGTACTTTAAAGTTTTAAATCATGTAGTTTTAAACAAAATACTTTGAAGGTGGTGGCCACCGTTCTCTATGCACTGATGCAACCGTTTTCTGAAGTTCCCCTCTGCATGTTCCAACATTCGCACCGGAATTTGGGCTACTTCCTGCCGAATAACATTCTTCAGCTGAAGCAGGTTTGTGGGGCAATGTTTAAAAACCTCTGCCTTGAGGTATCCCCATAAAAAAATCACAGGGCGTTAGATCAGGTTAGTGTGCTGCCAACGGGATGTCACCTTGAAGCAAGATGAGCCGACCAGGGAACTTTGCCCTCAAAACTGTCACTGAAGCTTAGGTGGTGTGGGCCGTAGCACTGTCCTGTTGGAACCAGATATTTCCCAGATGCATTTCTTCAAGAGCTGGTTTGAAAAAGTATTTAGTCATGTCCACATACTGCCGTGAATTGACAGTAACTGCATGATTGTCTTCTTCAAACAAATAAGGGCCAATAACTCCAACTCTCGACAATGCAACCATACTGTCACCTTATCACTGTCAAGTGGCCTCTCATGGAGCTCTCTGAGATTGTTAGCACTCCAACAGTGCATATTCTGCTTGTTGACATATCTGGATAGGTGAAAATGTGCCTCATCACTAAAGAAAACAAGTGTATCGGGGGGTAAAGTTTCCAATAACGTTTCGCACACCGTTATTCGGTTCTGGAAATCACTTGGTGACAATTCTTGCACAACAACCATCTTATAGGGATGGAAATGAAGATGTTCGTGAATAATTCGGCGCAATGAAAGATTGGATATGTCTAGAGCGACTGCATGTTTGCAAGCGGAGCGTCTTGGAGATCTCAAAATTGATTGTCAAACTACCTCCACATTTTCTGGTATTGTAACGGTCCATTATCGTCCTGATGATTTTTTTACCACACTTCCGGTTGTCCTAAAGTTCTCTGCCCACAAAACAATCGATTTGCGGTTGGTAACCGGACCTCTGGGCTTAATTCCGAAGTGAGTATGGAATGCACGCTGCACCACCATGCAGGAATTGTTGTTCGAAAAACAGACTTCGACAGCAAATGCATGTTGCTCACTCGTCCACCTCGTGTTTCCTACTGAGGGTTATTAGCTCTTTGACTGGCGCGAAAGGTATTTAAATCCCACCCCTGTCCTGGCAGGCCCTTTATACCTTATGTCGCTATAATGTACGTAGTTACTTTTTCCTAAACAACTTCAACAAAAATTGGTTTTTAAAAACGAAATTTTCAGGAACTAATTAAAATACAATATTTTATGCAATAAATGCCTTTCCATACCTCTTTATTAGTTTTTCTTCGTCTGATAAATATTGAAACATGAAAGTTTGCAGAGAGCCACACCACAGCCTGCACACATGATACTTGTTTCTTTTCCAATCTTGTGCTTAGCACTCACGCGACACTTTCTCAGGGCACCATTCTTCTTGTTACTGGGAGGAACATGGACCATTTTGTGAATTTTCAAGCCACCGTCTAGACGATTTACTGGCTCTTTCACTGGTGGTCTTTTCAAGGTCGAGGGCGGAGGCGTGACTGCACTCGAGTCTGACGCAATAGATTCGTCATCCACTTCATTCCTCGACTCTTCTCCCTCTCCACCCTGCTTGTTTGGTTC